AGAACCTTGGGGGCCGGTGTTCTCCCATTTCCTCTTCTTCGCCTCCTCGACGTTTTTCAGCTTTCTTTCTTCCCATTCCTTCTCCCCTTTCAGGCCTTGCTCCACCACTTGACTAAACGTCATGTTAGGCAATTGTGTTGCCCGTTCTCGCACGTCTAAGTCTAAAGCATCCCAAAAGTGAATCACCATCCGGTTCTCATCACAAGCATACTCCGGTATGAACTCCGTGAGCTCCCTGAACTTGTGCTCAAGTTGCCTCACGGTATACTTGCCTCCTTGGGTCAAGTTGATGTATTCTCTCCTCTTCAAGTTCACCTCGAAGTCGGAGTAGTATTGGTTGAAGAATTCCTGTCGGAAATTCTCCCAAGTTACGGCCTCACCGTACTTCCACTTGACACCGTCCCACCATGTGGACGCCATCCCCTCTAGCAACCTTGTTGCTACTCTCATCTTCATGTTTGGCGGCAGCTGCATATCAAGGGCCGCTTCATTGAACCTCTTGATCCACTCCGCCGCAACGGATATATCTCCCGTTCCATCGAATGGTTTACACCCCAGATCTCTTGCTTCCTTGAGGTACTTCGAGATCCTTATTATCGGGACCTCGACACCTCGATCTACTCGGGACTCCACATGTCCCCCAGAACCCGCATGGCTTCCCCTTCTTGAAGCCCCTCCCAAAGCACGCCTTGCCCCGCGCCTTTGGCGATCCTGTTGAAATTGACGGAGTAGTTCCTCCATCCTTTCTAGAGCGTCATCATCGTCGCTCCCCCTCACTAGCGTCATCATATTCCCCATCATATGGGGTCTCAACCGGCTCAGTTCCCGGTTGATACGTCGAATCCTCCTCGGACTCATAAGACTCGTTGACTGTTTCAACATAACCGTCACTCACGGTACGAGCTTCGCCTCCACGGCCCTGTCCTCTGGACACCCTAGAAGCCCCTCTACTGCCTTGCACGGATCCTCCGGGTGCTCGGCCAGTCGGGTTCAATCTAGTTACTTTCCCGGTACGTTCCATTTCTGAAAGAAATTGAGAATGGGTCATTAGACTCGTATCAAATGTCAATTGACGGATAGGTACTTAAAGACATCCTTTGGCTCAAATCACCGCCGTACCAATTGTTAAGGGTACCATCTTAACAATTAGAGACATTGCAACTCAAGTACCAAAAGTTCTATAAGTAGAAAACCTTATGCTCATGGTTTTCAAATTCGTTTTCAAAAAGAAATTTTGAAGCTTCATTATGATGTTTACGGACTAAGGCTCTGATACCAATTAAATTGTCACGCCCCGGACCTACCCGGACACGTCAACAACCCGCCGTACAGTACGAATAGCCAACCGCAGTCCAACTCATCCATACTATACAAGGCGTCTTGAATACCATTCACACATAGTACATCCATAAACAAACATAATGTAAAATAAACATTTATATCAGCGGAAACATTTAACACAAGTGTTTATGTCACACCTCGGCAAACATGGGAATACAAGCCCCCAAATAATTATTCAAAAAACAATATCCATGAGCATTATTTAAATTGTTTTCAAAACAGAAACGGAAGAAGCACGAACCACGTCTTCTTCCTTTGATCTTCCCGAAGCAACGGGCAGTGGCAGCAACCTTCAAGTTCTACCTGAAACTGTGAGGTGGCCTCCCCCGTGAAGGGGAGGTCAGTACTTGGAAATATTTGACAAGTACAATAGCAACTATACTAAGTATAATTGACGTTTCAATTTCTAAGACCCTCAATTCAGGGTGATACTACATTATAGGCCATAACCCTCGGTTACCCCCTTTTTCTATTTAAATTATACTCCCTTATTATGAAGTCAAGAAGTCGGCCCGTAGGCCCTTATCCATTTAGGGTTTATCATTTCCATTCCCCCGTGACCGCGAGCCACGATAACCCCGTGGGGTCCCATCGAGCCCCAATTGTATAGCATGGGCTCGGCCCAACTACATTTCTATACAATCCTCTAACTCAATATAACATATCAAAATTTGTATGGCAAGGGCTCGGCCCAACTACGTTTCCATACCAACCATAACTTCGTGGCAAGGGCTCGGCCCAACTACGTTTCCACGGAGATCACATATACATGGCAAGGGCTCGGCCCAACTACGTTTCCATGCTAATCATATTACATGGCATGGGCTCGGCCCAACTACATTTCCATGTCATCCTAGAGTCCAACTCTAATTATTTTCATAATCAAATTCTCAAGCAAATCCTATGCCTAGAATCAATTTCCGTAGGTAGCCTTTAGGCCTACACCTATCACACCTTAGTGTTCATACAATTCAACCTTAAAGTATCTCTTGAGACTACTTAAGGCATATCTATTCACAATCCTACCTCTTAGGATTTGTTTCATCATTTATTTATATTAATTCCCCGACTAGTATTTTGATACTAATTGGATAATCTTAGAACATGCCAAGTTCCTATTTTCCAATTGGCATTTCATTTCAATTGATTTCCCAACACAAGTATAGTTTGATCTCAATATCAAAAATATCACTTTAATCCATTCATGAATTTCATACATGACGTAAAGTATATTTTATCACAATGTCATCATAGTAATTCCATTAACATGCCGTTCCATTCATTTCACATAATCATACACAATTATTCTAAATTTGTATATCATGCTTCACTTACTCATATCAATACTATTTTCATTTAGGCATTATTAATCATTAATAATCCATGAAAATCCCATCTAATTACTTTAGGCAATCTTATGAAATTAACTCACTAATTATAAGCAATATAGTCAGCCATCCTCACCCCGTGATGTGCTACAATAGTTGCCTCTGTTAAGCCCCTCGATCAATCCCCGTTCTAGGCCGATTGAAAGTGGAAAATTTGTCTGCTGGGCAAAAGCCGGGCGGCTTTCACGAAAGCCGGGCGGCTTTCGTAGTCTGCAACTGCGAATAGCTTGTTTAAAGTGGCGGTTTCCGGCGATTTCGACTCCTATCGATTGGCCAACCCTCCTAAGTTAATTACCACCACTTTATATCAATATTCTACACTTTTAAACGTGTAGAACTCATGGTTTAATCCACCATATGATTCCTCAAAAATCATACGATAATAAATCTAGTTAAAGATTGTTTACTGAGTTCTTACCTCAAGAACAACCCTCTTCTCTTTGGATTCTCTTCCTTGTTGCTTGGACTATGAGAGGAGACTTCCCTAGAGCTTCTCTCTCTGCCTTGGTCGAGTGGATGATATCAAATGGAAGGGGAGAGGTATCTATCCTCACTCAAGCCAAAAATAATGGAAAGGTATGGCCAAGGGAGTGGGTGATTGTCTTCAGCCATCCTTTCCTTCACAAGTCCGCACAGCCCATGTTCATTTGTTTCACTCAGCTCCCAACATGTCAATTAGAGCACACAAAATCGTGGGGTGGCCCCCACTCATGTGGGAGGTCATCCCATTATGTCCCGGTGTGTATAATTGGCCCCGAAAGTTGTATTTCTCGGACCGTTTTAATCATATTTTATTTTATTGGGCCAAATAAAATATATCACGTGTACCTAATACTTATGGGCCTTTAGAATAGATGTACATTCCCCAACATTAATTTAGGAGTCTCTGAAACTCATTTCGGGCTGTTATCCGCTAAATTACCAATACCGATAATTGAGCCCCGTTTGACCAACCGGTCAACTCCATGCCTTTCTTATGGCCCAAATAAAATATCCACCTCCATGTAGATGTCATCTAGACCAAGATGAATATAATATGTGGTTCGGGAATTATCGGGCGGCCCCCCGGTCCGGGCGTGGGCCCCACATGCAATTTACTATTCACGTAAAAGAATTAATAAAAATTTACATTTACGCAAATTCATAAATCATCCTTCATATTTTATTACATAATTTACTAAAAGTAAATATGCTTGGGGACGGTGCCACAACCCGAGTGTACAATCGGTCCCGAAAGTTGTATTTTCCGGACTGTTTTAAGTATATTATATTTTATCGGGTCAAATAAAATATAACACTTGTTCCCAATCCTTATTGGACCTTAGAGTCAATATCCATTCCCCAACTTTAATTTAGAAGTCTCCGAAATCCCTTTTTGGGCTGTTATCTGATAAATTTGCCGATACCGATGATTTGGCCCTGTTTGACCAACCGGTCAACCCTGTACCATTGCTATGGCCCAATTAGGATATCCACCACCATATACATATTATTTAGTCCAAGATTAATATAATATGTGGTCCCGACAATATCGGGCGGCCCCACATCCGGTGTGGGCCCCACGTGAATTTTACTATTCACGTAATAGAAATGATAAAAAGTTTACAATCACGTAAAAATGCTTTTATACATTTCTCAAGGTTCAATACATGATTTGGTACTGTACAAATACTCGGGGGCGGTGTTACATAATAGGTCTAACGGCCTTATCGGGCTGATATGGGTCGGGGCAGACCGAGTGGGCCTAAATGGCTCTTAATGGGCCTAAATGGGCCTCGCCGACTTGATCCCGTACTGGGTCAATGCCTTTGGCCTCTGAATAGTAATAGGCTAGAATAATATTCTCAACAGCTCCACTGATTTTGGTGATTTGTCTATCGGGTTTAAAAAAACCATTTGACTTTTGGAGGTAATTAATACTATCCAATCAAATGTAAAAATGGATAAATAAGGAAGGATAGTTAGGACAATTAATGTAAAATGAATTGTCAAATGAACAAAAAATTTAAATGGAACATTTCAAAAATGAAAATGAAAAGATTTAAATAAGACTAAGGATGTTTTTACTTGGACTGTAATTTGCTGGTCTGGTCTGGTTTCTTTGTATTTTTATAACTATCCAAGTCTGGTCTGGTCTGAACTGGCATGATCTGGTTTGGTCTGGGACGAATTACAGTTCAAGTAAAAACATTCTCATGGAGTAACATTTTTTATGTAAATTGTGGGGCTTACGAATAAATACCGCGAAATGGAATATAGCGTGGGAGCAACAGTAACGCGCCCAACTCTAAAATTTTGAAAACATTGTAAAACGCGCCACCCAATTTCAACCTCCTCCTAATCCACAATTCCAGGTACCTCATTTCAGCGGCTGCTCCCTTAGACGCAATTTTCGCCTTCAAGCACCGCCGCTTCCTCGGTAAAAAGGGAGAAAAGAATAACATCTTGCTCAAATACGATAAGAAAGAGTCCGGTTTCAAAAAACATGTCAGGCGCTGCACACTTGGAGAGAATGGGGCGAGAGCTCAAGTGCCCCATCTGGTACTTTCTCACTTGAATAGCTTAGTTTTATGCTCTGGCACAGCTCAATTCCAGTGAAACTATCAGTTTCTGATTTATTATATCATGAATTTTTGTTTGAATTCTTTCACCAAACCAGCCTGATAGTAGCTTGAATTCTCGAATTCAGCTCTACCGCCTCTGCATTTTCTACTAAGTTACTAGATACCGCGATTGCTTATATTTTATCTGTTCATAGTATTTGCAACTCGTAATTGTTTGTTTTTCTCTCTTGAGCAGCTTGAGTCTATTGAATTCAGCTGCTTCGCTCACGTGCAATCATGTGTTCTGCGAGTATGTCTCTCACTCTCTAGAGTTCTATATACTGACTATGGGTTTTCTATGTTTGCATCCTATCCAATATACTGTTTTAAATTGCAGTTCATGTATCCACGCATCAATGAAGTCTTCAGCCTATTGTCCAGTTTGTAAAGTTCCTTTCAGGCCTAGGGGTTTGTGCTCTCACATGCTTTTTTTAATAATGGCAATCGGTTTTGGTTGAATTAAAGTCGCGTCAAGTAGCATGAATTAGCTTATTATATTTAACCTAATGTGTAAAATACGCATAATAAGTACTACCTCCGTCAAGAAAAAAAGTTCTCACTTTTCTTTTCTGGATGTCCCAAAAAAAGTTCCTATTTCTATAAAAGGAGATCACTTTTAAACCAAAAGTCACAACTAGCCTTACTTTCTATCTACTTTTTGCTTGACTTGACATAAAATAAGGGTATAGTTGGAAACTCAAAACAAAACTCTACCTTACATAAATATGTGTTTTCAAATTGGGAACTTCATTTCGAGACGGACGGAGTATCATTCTTTGACTTACTTATTTGGCTAGGAACAATTTTACCAAATAGTTTTCCACTTGTCCTTTCAGAAAATTCAGTAGATTCCGCTCTGCCATTTCTGTCAAATAATTCTTACTAAACAGGATATAAGTAATTTCAAGTGGCATGGAACATGACTGAAACTTTTTCTGTCATGCAACTCATGCTAGATTCTCTGAATTAAATGGCTTGTATTTCTAACTAAACTTCTTGTCATTTGGGTCGTTTGCTTAGCTACTATGTTTACACTCATCTTGAAGGGATTATGATTATTTAATACACTGTAAATACCTCAGAAATCCGCCCTGCTCCTCAAATGGATAACTTGGTCAGCATTTACAAGAGTTTGGAAGCTGCGTCAGGAGTAAACATATTTGATACTCAAACTGAAACTTCAACTAAAACCATAGGTAACTGGGCATCTCATAGAAAGATGTTTTTTCTAAATTTCAGTAATGCCTTTGCAGTTATATCATTCATTCATAAGTTTATTTGTTACTGCATTTATCCAGTTAGCTTTTCTGTAGATTTCACCAAGTGGTGATACTTCTATCGTACTTTCCATTGGCAATACTATATCATTCACTAAAACTGTGTACAATTTATAACCTTTATACTTTCAGGTGATGAAAGCAAATCTCATAGCAAGAAAACCATTGGAATTGTAGAGAAGGGTAGTACATCACGTAAGGCTAAGAATGGAAGTCACACTTCAAGTTTTCCTAGAGCTTCCTTTCCAACCAAGAAAAGGGTCCAAGTCCAACAGCATCAACCTCTAGAAAGTCCACCACCTTCAAAAACGGTTGTAGAATCTGGTCAGGTCACAGTTAGTGGACACCAGAAAAGTCTTTTCACAAACACAGGAAATATGGACTTAAATGAGAAGGGAGAGGTAAACCTATGTCCATTTTTTTGGCTGAGAGAAGATATTGAAGAGACAACTCAGCAGTCACTCCACTCAGATGGGGATCATTCTACAAGTACACCTTGTGATGTTCCTTGTTTTAGTGATATGAAAGACTCTGATGATGAAACTCCTCTTGAGGTGACTCCAAAAGTAAGATCTAGTGAGCAAGTATAATACATCAGTCCCCAGCCCTAAAGATTTAAATAGATGGATGGCTTATTGACATGTTATATGCAATCTTGCTAGGCGATCATGATAAGTTCCAAGAAGATTTTTATTACTTTATTGGACTATTAGTCTATTAGATTATGATCTATAGGTTAGAGCTCCTCATGTAAGCCGTTGTTCTAAGTAGGTGATACATTTATTTGGCTCTTGCTGTTATTTTTCCAATAAAAATTGCTTATGGAAGTTTTGTGTCATGATTGTTTAAACATTACTTGCCAGGTCAGTTTACCTTGAGTTTTGCAATATATAGTTTTTATAATGCGATCTGTTACCCTGTTATGAAATTCCAATTCTTATGGAGTTTCACATTTGACTACTGCATAGAGTACATCCCCTGGTGACATAGCAAAGAATACAGATTTTTTTGATAGTGAGATGTTTGAGTGGACACAAAGACCTTGCTCACCTGAACTTTTTTCGAGCCCATTGAATCTGCAGGTATTCATATTATGTATATACTATCATATTGTTTATCGAAGCAATAAATGATCACATTCCTTTTCCGTCTTTATCTAGAAATTTAAACTTGTTTGAAAACTTTAAAGAGATATAAAAATGGCATTGTAGGATGAAGATATTTATGAATCTGAAGGAGTTGAACAGAATACACAGGTGGTTTTAGTGGACTCAAATGTACTTGCGGAAGCTAGAAGCAGGAACGTAGAAAACATAATGGATGGAATTGCTACCAACAATGTAGATATGAATCTGCCCACTATATCTTCTCTAAGAAATGAGAAAGCTGACGTTATAGGTGCACTTAAAAGGTCTAGAAAGACATTGTTGGTGTGTGAGAGAAACAAAAAAAATGGGCGTAAGAGAGCAAGCCATGAACAAGCTGGAGACCCTAGTGGAAAACAAAAGCTAGCTAAATCAAGTGAAAGACGTGGCATCGAAAGAAGTGCCAAAAAAAGAAAGGTTACTTTCACTGAGCAACATAGTCATTGCCATACCTCAAAAAGGGGAAAGAAAGTTCCTAAGGACAGAACTCTTCCAACAGGAGATGAAGCTTCAAATCCCTATTCACTTAATACATTAGCATCTACCAGTGATGGCAATGATTTTACAAACTCTAGTTCAAAAGTAAGGAGTAAATCTAAGTGCGCAGGGAAATCAAGAAACATGAAACAGGTGACATTTTCTGAAGAGGATGATATTGCAGATGTCCTCCAGGAGTTTTATGAGAACTCCATCAAAGAAACTCAGATTCTTGATACTAGATCAAGCAGTCTGTGTATGGACACGAATGATTTCCCAAAAAGTAAGAAGTCACTATTCAATTTGAGTAGTCCGGTGATGAAAAAGTGTCAAACTGGTCCTGCAAAAATCCAATGTGGATTCTGCCACACTGCAGAAGAGTCAGAGGTATATGTGCTTTTCATTTGTATCTAGTCCATCTAGTTTTGAAGCCTTGAATTTATTTTCACGTCTTTTGTTCCGAAATTCAGGATTCAGGCCTTCTTGTGCACTATCTTAACGGGAAGCCTATTAAAGAAAATGAGTTTGGAGCAACAAATATCATACACGTGCATAAGAATTGTGCAGAGTGGTAATAAGCTCTAAATCTCTAATACACAAATGTTAAATATTTTCCTAATTTTAAAGCTAGCATGGTCAATTCATCATTTTCGTAGTGCATTTTTTTTGTTATCCTAAGTTTAATCCTATTTTGAAATTCATGAAACCTTAATTGTTTATACATTATACCAACCCATCTAGCCTGAAGAGAAGTAGATTTATTTATCTTATGAATATGTAGTGTGTATGTCTGCTTTGAAGTTACGGGTTCATGGTTTGAAACACATTTACAGGGCCCCAAATGTATACTTCAATGATGATGATGTCATTAATCTTGAAAGTGAACTCAAGAGAAGTAAGAATATTTCTTGTCGCTTCTGTGGAGGTAAAGGTGCAGCTCTGGGATGCTATGAGAAGACTTGCCGCAAGAGTTTTCATGTTCCATGTGCAAGGATGACACTGAAGTGTCGATGGGACTATGTAAACGTCACATCTTATACTACTAGCTAATCTACTTTCTATCAACTTAATAAAAGTTTATATATTTGCTTGTTTTCAGGACAACTTTGTAATGTTATGCCCTCTACATGCATGTTGTAAACTGCCGTGTGAGGTACCTGAATTTCAATCTAAGAAGGAAAGGAAATATAAAGTGAGGTAAATTAGTTTTGAATAGTTCCAAGTGATTCTCTTATAACTTACAGTTCTTATGCACTATTTAGTTTGACAAACTGAATTTTAATTATCTTTTTATTTCATATTTTAGAATATCCGGAATCAACCAGCCCAAAAGTTCTGTAGAATATGATAGTCAGGGTGTACGTTGGAAGCCTCCAAAAAAAGATAAAAGATTTGTACTTTGTTGTTCAGCTATCACTAATGCAGAAAAGGTTAAAAAAGCGAAATATATGGTTTTAATTAAGACTGTAAGTGTGTGCATTAGAGGCTAACTTTACACTTCGATGTGCAGGCTATTGTCTCTGACTTTAAGAGGTTGTCAGGTGCAACAGTAGTAAAGACATGGGACACAAGTGTAACCCATGTTATAGCATCAATAGACGAGAAGGGAGCATGCAGAAGAACACTCAAATTTTTGATGGGTGTCTTGGGGGGTAAATGGATCCTCACAATTGAATGTTAGTATCATACGGAGTAATAAATATGAAGAATGCAGTTTCGTTCTTAGCTTCCCTTTTTATCTAATTATTGGTTTCTCTTCCTACAGGGATCAAAGCTTGCTTGAATGCTGCAGAGCATGTTGATGAGCAGCCATATGAAATTGAAGTTGATATTCATGGTGTCAGAGATGGTCCCAGACTTGGCAGATTAAGAATGACAAATAAGGTTGTTCTTTTCACCTCAAATAAGCATTCAAAATTAGTGGAAACAAGGCTTCAATTAGTTTTCTAGCAAAGAAGAGTTCAAAATCTTATAATACACATAAATCTTCATTACTGTTCAAAGTTGCTCCATGTAGGACGTGAACATAGATGATCTCTTTTCTAAATAGGACAACATATAATTCATTGGTATACCAGTATTATTTTAGTCGTAATAGAAGAAAGATTAAAAATGGCTACCTAATATACCATTTGTATGTGAACTGACAATGGTAGTAAGCTGCAGGGACAGATCCAGGATTTTGAGTCAAGTGGGGCGAAAATTTTCGTTAGTGTAGGAGATAAAAAATTTCACTAGTGTAGCGGGGCGAACTTTTTTACTAGTGTAGCGGGGCAAAATTTTTCACTAGTGTAAGGCTCTACGGCTATTTTAATTCAAAAAAATTCATTAATACATGCACGACGACATTTAAATCTATATATTACATTCTAATTTTGGCAAATCAAAAGAAAATGATATAAAAATAAAAAAGGATATTACACCGTTCCATAAAAGTTGCAACATTGGAATTTCTGCACTATTCACACACCTTACTTTGACTACGATTTTCTAATAATATATTTAATAAAAACATTATGTATAAAATATTAATAAATTTGTATTAATGTAAATTTCCAATATATTAACTTTTTTTAATGTTTACTAATATGTAAATAAATATAATTACAGTCAAAGTTGCGCATTGGCAAACGTGAAAGTCAAAACTGTTGCAACTTTTATGGAACGGAGGATAGTATAACATTTTATTTAAATATAAAGAGTTTATAAGGTACACATTCACCAATATTTTTAAAATAACTTCAACATTGTTTAACTACAAGAGTCTTATAGAAATAAAGAATTGATTTTTGAATTACAATTTTTGTCTACCATGAAGGTTATATGATATTATTATTTTTAGAATAATATTATATTGCTAATTCATATATATATATATATATATATATATATATATATATATTGCATATTATATTTGTATTAATGCTAAAATATTTAAAATAATTTATCTATGGAATAAAGCCTTTTTAGAACGTAAGAAGTAAATGAATTGTGTAATTTAATGTCAATAAACATTTATAATTCGGATTCACTTCACATGATCTAAATACTTTGTAGCTAGAGTGTCTGATATTTAATATCGTTTGATATATATTTTTCAAAATTGTTTACTAGTTATCTAATAAAGATAATTAACAAAACTAATAATTTTTATATAATAAGTATCCTAAATCTTAAATAATGAGTTGTTCTATTGTTTATTTAAGTTATGGAAATGATTTTAGATGTTCCTTCTTTTAAATCTTCAATTAAGTATTACATTATGTAAGACTATATATTAATTTTAAAAACTAAAAGTTAAGGGGGGCAATGTTCAAATGAAGTTAAGGGGAGCGAATCTAATTAAAGTATCAAAATTTTACAAAAACATTACATATATAGTAGAAAAATTTTGAAAGTTCAAGGGGGGCGGTCGCACCCCGCGCGCCCCTTAAATCCATCCCTGGTAAGCTGGGAGGGGTTGCAAAGTTGGGTTATTTGGTTGCATCACCTGTTTTTAAGTCCTATGATTTTTACTAGTCATATTTTCAGAAAAAATGGCATGTTTCTTCCCATGTTTCCAAGTTGCCCTTTTCATTGCTTTCATTATGTACCTTTTTCCTTTTGATAGATCATCTTCTATTGGACAATCATGTATTTATCTAGTAAAGAGTAAGAGCAATCTACTTAGTGTCCGTCTGGAATGCAAAAAGTGCTAGGTAAAGAAAATAGTAAAGAAAGTGTAGGATAAATTGGTAGAAAAGAAAATGTCGAGGAAAATAATACATTGTTTGAAAGTCATTAGATATTTTTTGATAGTCGTTTTGAATTTTACTTTTTCTATAATATAAATACTTATTATTCCACAAGAAGTACTTGCCTGTTTTAGACAATCTATATAGATTAATGATTTATATTCCATTTCATGTTTCCAGGAAAATAATTCATTTTTCATTTCTTGAGATAAATCCCACATAAAAAATAACCTAGATTTTCTTTTCTTTAACTAGAATTTCCAGAGATCCAAGCATAGACTTAGTGTTAAGCGTAAGTGTACTGATTCTTGAGCGAATTTGCCAATTTGCAGGAACCCAAGCTTTTCAATGGATACAAGTTCTATTTCATGGGAGACTTTTTGCCTTCACACAAGAAGTACTTGCCTGATCTGGTGGTTGCTGCCGGGGGAACAGTCCTGAACAGGAAGCCTGTTAATGAAACAAGTCTTTTATCTGCATCCTCATCAACTTTAATAATCTACAGCCTTGAGATACCTGACAAGTGTGATTCAAGGGAGAAAAGTTCGATCTTGGACAATAGGCGGTTGGCTGCAGAAGCTTTGGCTGTTTCCACAGGCTCTCTGGCTGCAACCGATGCATGGGTTATGGACTCCATTGCTGGCCTCAAGTTGCAACATCTTAAATAACAGATGAGAACGTTCTGAACATTGTCTACTTTATTGACTATATATTAAATAAGTATAAACTACTCATAATTCGGTGTGATTGTGATGTATGATAAACAAATATCTCTCGGCGCTTTTGGTTTTCCTGATTCATGCAGGGGTATGCATCCAAGTTTTTATTTCATTAATTTCTACTTTGCAAAAACAAATTGAGCCCTTCCACTACTTTTGTTTTACTTTTGATAATAATGCACTATAAAATGTTGAAGTAATTTCCACACCCTTCAAATATAAACTAAAGAAATTCTATATTAAGATATTTGTTACTACTACCAGGTTGATCGATTTTTACTTTTTAGGATGTGCTCTTGAGTCTTAACAATAATTTTAAATAAATGACAATAATGAGTGGTGATCCAATATGTCATAAGTTAAGCTCCACAATACCCCTCAAGATGGAGCGTGAGGATCTTGACTAAAAGGTTGAAAAAATGTTGAGCGTCTAGGGCCTTAAGGCTTAAGCAAGTAAATATGTCCGCAAGTTGATCAGTAGATGTAGGGGTGGACCCGGGCTAGGCCGGTTCCAGGTCGGGCCTAGGCCCGGGTGGACTTTTTTTTCCAGAATGTTGGCTCTGAAACCGGCCCGGGTTGATACCGGGTGATCGAATGCTTTCATTTGGATATTCATATACTAAATAAATATATTCTTCTTGCTTAATTTATTTTTATTCTTGTACGTAGTCCAATACATCATTTTCATTTATTTGATTGTTTGAATTAGCACAAAAATTGCTAAAACAAAACCCCTTGACGATCGAAGCTTTGACCCTGCGGGATGATGTCACTTTTGCTGTTAACAAGGCCTTCACTCAAGTGATTTTTGAAGTTGACTGTTCAGACCTGCTCCGACATTGGAACCAACGACGTACTGATCTTTCAATTATTTCCCCTATCTTAGAAGAAATTCGTGAGCTTAGTGAAGTTTTTATTTCTTGTAAGTTTGTTTTTATGAGGCGTGAAGACAACCCGGCTGCTCATTGTTGTGCAAAGTTCGCACGTTGAGCCTGCCCTTTGGCTGACAGATGCCCCTAGCTTTCTTAAACACAGGCTCAAAGCTGATTGTAACCTGAATGATTTTATTTAATAAAGTTGGTGTGTTTCCCTCAAACAAATCTGCAAATTGGATATTGATTCTGCTTCTTTTTTAAAGCAGAAGCAGAATCAAAGATTCAGTTTTCAGAAGCTGGTCACCCCCAGTTTCTAAAAAATTGATTCTAGGAGTAAATTAGAGCACCAGAATCACTTCTGCATTTTCAGCCAAACACTCCAATTTCTGCTTCTGCTTCTGCTCCAACTGATTTGAGATCGAATCGGACCGTGTTCACCAAGCCACCCATACACACTATCATTAAATTCGTTGTTCCTAAATTATTACGAGAAGCCTCTAATAGGTTTAATACATGAAATTAGTGGACATATATAGTTTGTGTATTATATGGCCCGGTTTAACACAATAATTCAATAATTCTATTCTGCTTTAACAATTTTTTGGCAAGTTCTATGGTTAGATCATAGAAGTCTCATAATTGTACGACCTTTTTAGGCTTTTAAGTTTCATTAGGTTCGCCAACAATGTTGTTTAGTTATATAATAATAATAATATACGTGGTAGGCGGTAGCTATTTAGGAATCCTATTTCTTATTGAAATCTATTTTATATTTGTTTTATTTATTTATTTATTTATTGTTTGATGATTACATAATCCTTTTCCGATTAGAACTTGACTTTATAAATACTTATCTCTTTTGTAATTCATACATAGTATATTTTTCTCAACAATTCAGTACTAGACATCTTCTAAAGAAAAAAATTCATTCTTCTCAAGAGCATTCTATCGGTTCTTTCAGGAAGAATTAAGCGTTTTATCAAGTACGACCGTAAGTTTCTGTTAAATTCTTATATTATTGTTTGTTATCTGTTACTCTAGTATAGTCATGCCATCTTTTAAGATTTTTTAATTCGATTACAATAGGGCAAGTTATTAATATTATGTCGTCCACGATCCCCAAATTTTAATATAGTTATTATAATGTGCTTCGATTATACCGTCAAATATTTAGGTTTTAAAACTCCCACTACTTCAATCTGGCATGTTAACCTAAGATAGTCAGGGCCGGTTTATTAGGTTAATTAGAACAGGGTCCCGCTTAAAATGGTCCCCCATATTTTAAAAAAATCAGTAGTATTTTTTTCTGTGACACTAACTGACTAACCTATAATAATAATAATAATAATAATAATAATAATGAAAAAATGCACATGTTCTACTTTGACTACGTTTTATTTATTAATGTAATAATATTAATTTATGAAAAAAATATTGTTAAACTTGTCTCATTGTAAATTTTCATAATCTATTTTTTTTTAATTTTTTACTAATACAAAATCATTTATATTAATGGTCAAAGTTGTGTCTCGGCAAGTGTGAAATGTTGACCGTTGCATTTATTTAAGAATGGATGAAGTATATAATATATATAGGGCACCGAATCCCTCCCCAATGGTATGAATTAAGTGGTTTAAACCGGCATTGTCCCGTTCGGTTTGACATCCTAATTCCTAACTACAATACTGCTCCGTAGTATATATCAAGCTTGATTTATTATTGTATAAATTTTACGTTTATAGATGTATCCCACAATATCAAGAATGATACTTCCTCCGTTCTCGATCTTCTAATTGCAACAATCAACATTTCACGTATGCCAACACACAAGTTTGACTATTAATATCTTTCATTCCTTATTATTAAAAAAAAATTAAAAATTCATATTTTTAAAATTTAGAATGAGAAGAATTTTAAAATATTTTTTAAAAATTTAATTTCTAATACATTAATTAATAAAATATAGTAAAAATAGAATATGTAAATAATGAAAAAGGTTCAATGTTGGAGAACGGAGCAAGTACAATATATGGAGTATAATAGTAGCATGTATGCAGCCTTTAATACGTTCTCAATAAAATACGTAATTGATAAGTATTCTCTTTCTTAATTGAATTTGGCTAGAGGTTATTTTTTAATAGGAAATTAGGGATAGCCTACGGAGTTGTGTCAATTAATTGTCAAACTATAAGAATTTAAAACGTTATTTTTAAAGAGTTTGAAAACTAAGGGGTGTTTGGATATGATTTTAAAACTACTTCTACTCCTTCAGGGAGCAGAAGCAGAAGTTGTAGTGTTTGGGTGAAAGTGCAGAAGTGATTTTGGTGCTGTAATTTACTTCTAGAATCAGTTTTTTTAGAAACTGGGGTGACTAACTTCTGAAAATTGATTCTGATTCTGATTTAAAAAAAGAAGCAGAAGCAGAATGAGTTCCAAACACCCCTAAATCCACATCTCCTAAACAGAATTAATATTATGTCATTTTTCTTTACTAAACGAACATTTAGATTAATTTCAAAGTATTTTGTTAAGTAATTTTTACCGAATATAATTTTTACTCATTACGTGAAGCCTCAGTTTAGCGTTTAGAACAGGACTTCTCGAATCTATTGGACGCCTCTGCCGATAGCCAATATGCAGGTTATCTTATATTAATAGAGATAAATATAAACGGGTTCTAAATTATTGCAAGTAATTTAGTGAGTATAGTTTGGGCACAAAGTAATATAAAAGTACATCCATGTAATTCATAGGGGGAAATTTCAATAATAATAATAATAATAATAATAATAATGATGATGATAATAATGATAATAATGATAATAATGATAATGATGATAAGTAAGAGTAAAAATGATGCAAAATTTCAAAACAAGAGTATTATGTTCATCTGCCAAATTTGAGTACTTCACTGTTATCACACAAATCCTAATTATAAATTTTACCACCACATTTAACCAACATAATTATATATCACACAAATCCTATCACATTAATTTTATCATCATGATATAAACTACGTCATATCATATTCCTTGAGTAATAATGTTATCATTTAATTGAATTAAATTATCGCCACCAAAATAAGCTTCCAATTTGTTATTGTAAGGTTTATGGCTGCATTAATATCACAACAAACATAATTTTTATTCATTCTTATATGTGACGTTATTATATTACAGAGTATTATTGATAAAGTATGGGAAATAAAACTCTTATTTAGAAAAAATAGTTATAAATTAGGATGTTTTTAATTAGATGAAAATTATCCAGTCTAGTCTAATTTGTTTAAGTCTTACTTCAACTGGTTTAATCTGGATTGATAAATGTTTGTTTTATTATATTTTACAACTGTAAAATTTTAATTGATCTGATCTGATCTAATTTAATTTATTTAATTTTGACCTGATATGAACTGATATGATTTGATCTAGATTGATATGATTTGATTTGTGTTTAGCCGTGCAAATTTAAACTTTGTGTGTTGTTATTGACTTACTGAGTAACTAGAATAATAGAAAAGGAGAAAATTTAATTCCTCTATCTTTTGTAGTAAATATATTGTGATTGGGAGACTATAATACAATTTTTTTAGATAAACAAGAAGCTATATAGGAGTACATTTTAATTAAGAAACTATGAAACCTCCTTCCCATATATACACGGACTATTTTTTTTCCCTTTCATCATTTTTGTTTCCTAATGAGCATAAGAGTTGGATACTTGGATTTCCTAGTTAAACACAACTTAATATTCTCCTTTCGGCTCTTTTAGGAGCAATTGGATCATTGATTTCACTATTTCAATACTCTATAAATTCAGTATTCATTATCTAACTCCTTTGTTGATTAAACTTGATAGGATATCAACTCTAACCATCATGGAAACATTGTCACCGACCGAACTTGAAACGGAAGATGTTAGAGCGGCCATAATTTTGCTTTCCATGAACAATAAAACTTTGGGATACGAAGAAGCCAAAAGTTTGGAAAAGAGGAAAAGGAAGACTCTTCTTCCCGAGAAAATAGAAAGAGCAAAAAGGATAAATCAAGATTTAGCTTACAGTATTGATGGGACTATGTTGTCAAGATATCCTCCAAATTTGGAGGGCATAATAGACATTGAGGCCTGCAGCCATCCCTTTGAGAAGCAACTCACCCCTACAGATGTGAAGGAAGAAAAAAATCGCCTCTGTTTGAATAAGGACAAGGTGATAAACCTGATTTTGCCATTAATGAATGATGATGAAGATCCCATTAATGGTATTACTGTGACAACTTATGACTCATATGGGGTAGAGTATGAGATGACATTTAAGAGCTGGTCGGATAATAAATTCTATGTTCTCAATGGAGGGTGGAAGAAGTTTTGTCAAGAAAATGAATTGAAGGAGTATAAAAGCTGGGTCACTGTTTGGATGTTCCGCCATAGCCAAACTAGAAAAATCTGTTTTGCCCTCAATTGGAAAACGATGGACACAAATCCTCCATGTCTTAATAAATCCAACAAACCTAGAAAATAAAAAGAAAACATGAAAATCTTCTTGTATTTATTAATTTACTTATGCTTGTATGAGTTGTATCCTTTCAAACCTTATTTCTCAATAAAGTATAATACTATTTTTGTGTATTTGACAGACGAAGTGTATGATCTTGTGTTCTCAATTGGTCAAATTCCTATGAGAAAACTATCAAATAGGCCACTGAAGTTTACCCGCTAAACGCTAACTTGATCGATTTTTAAGAGTTTGAGGGTTAATTGGGTGTTTTTCAAGTATGAGGGTCTAATCTGCATTTCCGCTATAGTACGGGTTTATTTGATAGTTTTAAAATTGGTTAAAACGGTTGAATTTGTTAAAATTGAAGAAATTGTCACTAAAGCGGACTGAATTTGTGAATTATGAACAATTATTTTAAAATATAATACGCCCCCGGTTCCAATTTGTAAGACATATTTCCTATTCACTTGATCAACATAAATCACTCTTAATCTTTTAGTTTATATATTTAACTTTTATCAAATGTGATCCTTTTGTGACTTTGTAAACTTTTAATGTAGTTTCTGAATATGTATATTTTATTTTCTAAAACTAATTTGAGTGTTGACATGGATCAATTTGCTATTGTCGGTCAAACATTGTAAACTGTAAATGGTCTTACAAATTGGGACAAAGGGAATAATATTTTACAGATTAAAAAAATGAAAATAAAAAAAAATTGCTCACTCCGGAAAATTCTGTCAATTCACAGAAACGCCTATCTTATTTATTTTGATTTGATTATTAAACTATTTAATTGATAAAATCAAATGTTACACATGATACACAATTTGCTTATAAGAGCGATAAAATGAAAATAAGTGCTACTAAACGAGCCGAGAGTATTTTTAGCGAAATATTAAAATTGAACATTATTTATCAAAGTGAGAGCATTATCACATGCTTTAACTTTATCATCCTTGATGTTTACAAAAAAAGTTTATCATCTCTAGTGAGTATGTTTTGTTGGTCATATAAATCCCCGCTACATGTTTAACAGAATTATATGAGACTAGTGACCAAAATTAGGGGTGGAAACAAGAGGAGGCTATAGGAGCCTCCCCCCTAAGATATATATATATATATATATATATATATATATATATATATATATATATATATATATATATATATATATATATATATATATATATATATATATATATATGTGTGTGTGTGTGTGTGTGTGTGTGTGTGTGTGTGTGTAAATATCATAGACACTAAAAATATATTGAAATTTTAAGGTTTACTATACAACATAAATTGTCGATCTAAGATCCCCCTAATCTACCATTTTTGCTCCGCCACGGGTTGATAAACGTACTATGGATGAAGACACTTGGGGCTGACACCATTGTATATTTGTATTAAAGTTAATGTGGTTCCAATAACTAAATGGAATTGTAGTTTGAAATTGTTGATATCTTTTTCTTAAATTACTAAAGAATTTCTTTTGATATTAAAGAAAATCAAATTGTGTTTACTGTGATACTAACTTCGTTCACAATTAAATTCACAGTTTTATTTTCAGTTCTTTTTTCTTTCCTTTTTTTTTTACTCCAGGAGTGGAGGAGCCTGGGTTAAATAGGACTCAAATTCCTTCATGCAATTTTGAATTCGAGACCTCTCGTATGAGAGTGTGAGTTGATGACCAGGTAAGATTGACCGCTTCATTTTTTCAATGCTTTGCATATATACCATTTATTTAACTAAATATTTGAACTGTTCTTATTCAATTCTTTACATATATACAAAAGAAATGATTTCAAATATATGATCAAAAGAAAAGTGGTGGACAAAAATATGACATAGTAACCTTTAATGATTGCAATCATACTTAAATTTCATATCGCAATGACAATCAAAGAAAAGTGGTGGTTTCAGGCATATACTCTCTGTCATAGCAAAGGTATCTAGGCAAGAGGTTGTTCGTGCTACTATTAATGTCTCATGTATTTGGAGATATTATCACATTCTCACTTTAACAAAAAACATGAGGCTACAATGTGGTTCTTCGCATTGTAATGTTGATGAATTGAAAATTTTCTCAAATTTGGTGCTCAAAATAGGAGATTGGAAATATTGGGAATGTCATAGATGGATAGGTCGTCATTGATATACCTGATGATATACTTATTACCACTTCATGGGATCCTATTGCCTCAATTGTTGCTAGAACTTATCCGTTATTTCTGGAAAATATGGCTGATCCGTCATATTTTCAACAAAGAGCTATTTTGACATCCACAAATAATGATGTTGTAGAGCTTATAAATACTTATATGATTTCATTGATGTGTGGAGAAATGAGGACATATTTGAGTTTTGACAACCCATGTTCAATCGAAGACAACATTGGTGTTGAATCCGGTGAAGTGCATACATACGAATTTCCAAACACCATCAATGCATCAAGGATACCGAATCATAAATTGGGACTAAAAGTTGGTGTTCCAATTATGTTAATGAGAAACATTGACCAATCCCTCCGACACATGCAACGAAACTTGCTTGATTATTACTCGGTTGGGTAAATTTGTTTTAAAGACGAAGGTTATAACCGGAAAAAGTATTGGTCAAAAGATTTTGATTCCTCGACTATCATTTGTCCCATCGGATAATAGAATTCCTTTCAAATTTCAACGTAAGCGATTTCCAATAATCGTTTCATTTGCAATGATGTTAATGTTACACATTATCATTTATTTTAGTATCCTTGCTATATTTTCATACGATTCAAACTTTTCTACAACTACTACTACGTATATAATAAACGTTACGTCATATAAACTCTATCGTCTTATTTTATTATGTAAAATTACACATTACGTACTATCATAAAACATAATTTTAAATAAGTTATTATTCAATTCTAGATATACCCCGTGCATCGCACGAGTACATCGTCTAGTGATTTCAAATATATAATCAAACGAAAAAGTGGTGGACAAAAATATGACACAATAAGTGTTGAATATTTAGTTTTGTTGATGGCTAACCATGCAGGTAGAACGTCGGACAGAACCGCTCTCAGTTCTATCAGGAACGGAAATCAGAACTATACTTAGTTCTGTTCTGTGTGAATGATTGACGTGCATAATGAATAAATGAATTAACATGTTATTGCATGATAATGCCATATCTACGTACCTAGATATGTTATGCATGAAAGTGGCACAATTTAAATATCTTTTCATAAATGATTATGCCTTTATACTTTATAAAAGGTAATCATGAAAGTGGCACAATTCAAATATCTTTTCATAAATGATTGGACACCACTTAAGTAAGTTAACTTTAATTGTGCTCATACTTTATAGAAAGTAATATTGGCTTGCTAAATTAAGGATTGCATGACTCAAGATTTGGTTGACCGTAGCATGCTTATAATTGTCAAATAAATATTCCCTTGCCTCAAGATTTATCCTTGATTTAAGATATTAAATCTCCTTTGAAAGGATCTTGACTTGCTAGTAATATAAGGACAGTTGACTTGAATTAATTTGCACATGCTTATTTAATTATCTTCCGTATATGGGTGCATGATTTATTTGGTCACTAGCTAATATATTTTCTTTATGTGATCACCAATTTGAAAAGGTCATTCACTTTATCAAGATTATTATTTTAAGAAGGAATCTTTCCATGCATTATTGGTCAATAAGGGTTAACGGCTCATTGCATATATGTTAAGTACATGATTGCATATTCTTTGACTTGTTAGTTATTTGAAGGTACTTAAGTTTAATTCCATGAATGCATGATATACTCCTTCCATGTATGTGCATCCATTTATTACTATAATACACATGCCTTTACTTTGAGCAAGGATCGCCACATTAATGATAAAGAGATGAGATCTCCTCATAAAAGGAAGGATTTTCAAATAAAAACAAGGCAAGTCTCACACTTAATGACTTGACCATCCAAGGAAGAAAAGAGCAACGGTGCAGTGGTGAGCCGCTTATATATATCGAGATCAAAAGAAAGAAGAGGGTGTGCTTGACCGGACTTCTATTGAGAAATATACACAAGAATATTTACTAAGTCCAAGGCACCTGAACCTGCTCACGAAGTTCCAGACAGAGTTTCTTTTTCCCTTCTTCATATTGTAATTGGGATTTTGAGGATTGGCTAAGTGTACCATCCTCGGGTTGGTTAGTGTGTTGTGAGAGCTTTGTTGTAAAGCTGAGAGGCTCTCTACCCGCAAGGTAGAGAAGCATAACTCTTCCTAGAGAGGATAGAGTTGGGGTGGCTCAAGGGTACACTAGGAGAGTTTCCCTTGTAATTATTCAAAGGCTTTTTAGTGGAGTTGTTCAAATTCCTCCGAGGGAGGTCGAGGTTTTTTTATCCCTTTGAGCCAAGGGATTTTTCCACGTTAAATCCTTGTGCACTTTACTATTTCGCATTTCCCTGAACCCCACACTAGAACTGTGCGAAAATCTGCCACGGTTCCACACACACACAATTCACCCCTCCTCTTGTGTTGCTAACCATTTCATCAATCGGTATCAGAGCCGATCTTCACCACAAAAAGGGTAAAAACTTGGGAAGAGATACTGCAGTATGAATATGGTTGAACGATTGGAAGAAGGGTACTCGACTCAACGACCACCGTTGTTCAACGGCAAATTTTACCAATTCTGGAAGAGTCGAATGGAGAACTTCATCAAGGCTGAGAACTACCAGGTATGGAACGTAATTGAGGTAGGCGATAACATCATCACTAAGGAGGATGCTGAAGGTAAGGTTATCCCTAAACCCAAATCTGAATATACTTCTGATGATTATCGTAAACTCGAGCATAATGCCCAAGCATTAAAATATTTGATTTGTGGACTTGGTCCGGCTGAGCACAACCGGGTTCTTGGATGCAAATCCGCAAAACAAATGTGGGATTTACTCGAGGTTACGCATGAAGGTACCTCGCGTGTAAAAAGATCTAAAATTGACATATTTATGCGTAATTACGAATTGTTCGTGATGAAACCTAAAGAGTCAATTAGGGATATGATTACACGCTTTACTAATATTATAAATGAGCTTTCAGCACTT